GTAACCACCCTGCCCTGGAGTCACAAGTAGAATCAACATTTTATAAATTAATAATTTACTTTTTTCTGGATTGCTGGGTGGGAGACAGATTTTGAACATGTACTTTTAGCTATGTGTCAGCATTTCTATTTCAACTTAAAAAATAAACTCAGTTTACTGCAATTGTACAATATTAAATACTGAACTCTCTTTTATGGATTGTGGTTCAGGCTTGGCTTTTATTCATTCTAAATATATTCTATATGGACTTCTTATTGTAGTGTCAGTTGAATAAATAACAGGGAAGAAGATGCAGAATCAGGATTTATGTCTATGAATTATAGAGAATAAAACTGAGATATTCCTGAATTACAGGAAAGGAGTTCTATTAAAGAGTTATTTTAATAATAAATAAAAAAAACAGAACATCTACACATAAGAGGCAAAATAAACTATGTGAAATGGAAGCTGATAATTTACTGGATAGCTTTGCTTTATTTATACCTCCTGAAACTGTGATAAGAAAAGGTCTTGCAAAACCATTGAACGTGCAGTCCAAAGCACACGCAGTCCATAATTGCTCAATGAGAACAAGGATCAGCAGGTAACACAAAGAATTTCTCATAGCTAATATTTTATTCTCAAGAGGCAGGAAAATACAAAAATCCATAAAGAATATATCCATACTGTATTTGTCTTAAGATCAATATACATTTTTTTTCATCTGCCGGGTGTTTTTCCAGAACATTTTATCAGGCAGATCATTTACTTATTTATTTGATAAATAGCTGGCCTTTCCTCCAAGACCTCAAAGTAGATTTAAGGATCTCCTCTTATTACTGTAATTAATTCTGTCATTAAACAACAGAAACCCTTAGAACAGTGCTTCTCAACCTTGGTCACCTGAAGATGTGTGGACTTCAATTCCCAGAATCCCCCAGCCAGCAGAGCTGGTTGGGGAATCCTGGAAGTTGAAGTCCACACATCTTCAGGTGGGCCAAGGTTGAGAAGCACTGCTTTGAGGTATGTAAGCTGGACTGAAAGGGAATGACTGGCTAAAGTAACCTGCTGAATTTCTAATGCGGAGATAGATATAAATGGGGGTCTTCCCAGTCATAGTTCAACACCTCACCCACACTGTGCCACACTGATTCTTGTATATAAAGCCGGCGACATAAAGATAAAGAGATGACCTCAAGATGACAGAGTTGAAGAAACTAACTTTAAAAAAAGATACATAGGCAGAGCTGGATTTTTAAAGCCATAATGTCTGTAATTTCATATTAGTTTTGAGTCTGAGGTGAAACTGAATGAAAAATAATTTAGGATATCCAGTGCTGAGGAATATAGGACATGGCAAATCTTCCAGCTTTTCAAATGCAAAACAAGAGGTCCCTATCTGTCACTGGTAATACAAATGGGTACCTTGGCCTGACAGAGTGATGATGCAAAAGCATCTTAGTACTAACATAATTAATACTAAGGGAGTAATTTTGGATTAGTTCAAAGTTAATTCAGTTATTTTTGCATTTATTTATTTATTTATTTATTTATTTATTTATTTATTTATTTATTTATTTAGTTAGTTAGTTAGTTAGTTAGTTAGTTAGTTAGTTAGTGTATGGCATGTGTTAGCCAGGTGTCACCAAGATGATTGGCTGCTTCTGTGAAAGGATTTTTTGGGGGGTGGTGTTATCTTTACCCATGGGATGCCTGAGTGCGGGTAGGCAATTGGGGGAGGCCTCTTTCTTGTCCCTCCGCAGTTTATTTGCTCACAGGAATTGAGCCGCCGAGCTGTCGACCTTAGAGGTGCGCAGGCTCAGCATCTTACCATGTGAGCCACTACGGTCCCTGTGGTTTACTACTTAACCCAGATGAAATTAATGTTGTAAATATTTGCAGCAGCTAGGAGGGTTCCCCACTTGCTGATTAAAACAATGGATACAATTGATACACTGACTTTTAAAAGTTTGAGTAGCCCTATTTTGTTATTCTTTCAATAAATATTTGAAGAGAAAAAGAGACAACAAAATAATGGGATATTTGGATAAGTGCTTATAACTATTTACTTACAGTTGCATTTTCTATATTCCATTCAGCTCAGGTGCTGTTTGTTGGAAAATGTTTGGATTTCTAGCTTCCCTTCTCATTCCAGATGTTTTATTCCCTGAATCATTAAAAAAAGGTGATGCATTCAAGATTGGGCCATACAGAGCTGTTGGTACTTGCATTATTATCCTGTATTCTGCCAACACAAAGTGTAAATTCTGGTTCTCATGTTTCATTAAGTAGGTTAATCTCCATGATGTGAAGAAGGTCAACAATGCAGGTCCATAACTATTGCCATGTCACAACAACTATAATCACAGCCTTCACTAGTTAATTAGTGTCCCTCAAACTTTTAGGTAACTTCCAGCAAAGTCACAAATAATGCTGGATTTTATTTCATTAACTGGGGTAAGTTGGGGCAGATACTTTCCTAATATAGGTCAAAGGTATGTGGTTAATAGCATTAATCATCCATCAAAGCATTACCTGTTATTATGTAAACTCTGTTACAACAGCTTGTTCATAGTGTGTTTTACAGGAAGTATAGAAACAATGGTCAGAATCGCTCATGACTAAGAAATATAAGGATAAAAATAGCAAAAGTTGATAAAGTCATTACTGTACAATATAAAATGTTATCATAGCAAAAATCCGGTTCAGAATCTACTTCAAAGAGCTAGATGCTGGGTTCAAACTGGCTCCAATTCAAACACTTTGGCTTAACTGGTTCTGTGGTTTGCACACCAACCAAACTATGGCTGTGCATTGGGATGGTATCTCTCTTCCTATCCCTCCCTCCTTCCCCCCTCCCTGCTCCCCCCTCCTTTCTTTCAGACAGAAATCACACATCGTGTCTGCTATGCTGAATCTTTGGCTTAAGTTCTCAACTGCCACAGTATCTATGCTAATGATATGCTGAAGGCCTATTTTCAAAATAGCAATGAACATGTGTTTCTTTTAACCAGAGGAAAGTATGATGAATTTTCAGAGAAATCAGAAAAGTTCTGCTTTTATTGAAGCCCTTTCCCAATACAGAAACCTCAACTTGTTTTTATAGATTTTTTGAAATTGCTATGAGGATTATGCAACCATGTTTGTAAGAACAAAAGCAAAAGCAAAAACAGCAATGAATCATTATGACTGCCTTGGTTTTTTTGCACTTTTGATTTTCATAACTGTTCCTTTCTTAAGATGACATGACATCATGCTTTTAGGTATGTGCAAAAACCTTCCCAGTATCCAGGGAAAATGTATTTTTAATATTGATGTGTTTCTTGAGTGGAACTGCATTTTTTTAGCTGATATTAAATGGTAGTCCCAGAAATTTTGCACAGCACAAAAAGCTTCTGAGGGCATAAAATCAGCACAAAGACTTTTTTCAGTTATTCTGCCATTTTGGAGATGGAGTGACAAGTGCCTTGTTTGGGCGAACATGTGATTTTTCATTTATGGTTCCCCAACTGTATTTTGTCGACAGCGTGGTGACTCAGCAGTTAATCACTGGGATTGTCAGCTGGAAAGCCGGGATCCCAAGTTTGAGACCCAAGCGCCATGCGATGGAGTGAACTCCCATCATTGCCACAGCTCCTGCCAACCTAACAGTTCTAAACCATGCAAGTGCGAGTAGATAAATAGGTGCCACCTTGGTGGAAAGGTAACAGCACTCTGTGACATCATGCTGGCCACATGACCATGGAAAAATCTTTGGAGAATGCTGGCTCAGTGGCCTCGAAATGGAGATCAGCATTGCCTTCTCTTGCCGGAATGACTAGTGGAGTAAAATCTGCATGGACTTCTTTACCTTTTTACTCTGCCTGGTATTCAATATTTTGGTTATATTTGTTTTGCCTCATGTATGACTTTGCTAGTCAAGCAAAAAGTGGTTCCAATGAGTAATGTAGTGTTTGAATTCTGACACACTTCTGTCTTGAACTTAGATTCTTGGACATATTGCTTTGATTTGATCTTTATGAGTTTGCTTGTTATCAAAATAACAAGTGTTTTGAGACTAGTCCTGTAAACAAAGGCCACCTTTTTGCTGAATGCGGAAGCCACTCTTTTCTTCAAATGGATGTTTTATGGGATTGCTCACAATATGGTTTCAACAACCACATAGTTGTTTTGTGTTATTTGTGGACAATAAAGAGTACATAATCCATAAATAATACAACCACTGGGGTTCCATGACCACTTATCTTCAAGAAGAGCAGCCATGGTTTTAAAGGTATGGTAACAGAAAAGGCATGCTTTCTAACTTCTATTACTATAGATGATATTGTTTGATTGAAGGAACCTAAAATTTATCAACTCCGACAGATCTTAATAGAAGATGGCTGCAGCCATGGAAAATAGGCAGACCTTCAAGTAACCTGGCTCTATGCCATGATGGGTTTTTTAGATCACATCCAGCATCTTGAATTATAACTGGAAATTTATTGCAATCAGTGCAGCTCATATTACAATGGCATGACTGAACATACCAGACATGTTGTACTGTTACTATTCCATTCCGTAGCCTCTGAGTGGTCTTCAAGAGAAGCTACATGTAAAAACCATTGCAGTGATCCAACTATGAGATGTCTACGGCATAAATGACTGCCAGGAAGGCCTCCTTATCCTGGGATGATGCAACTATTGCATTATTTAATTAAATTTGAATTAATTTAATTTAATTTATCTTAATTTAATTTAAAGGCCTCTTGTTTGACTATCCAGAGTGACTGGACAGTTTACAATAGGATATTACATTACATGAATGTGTGCATAGGCACTCTTGGCCAAGTTTCTTCCTGCTTTTCAAGTAGGAGATATGAGTCCAACATGATCCCAAGGGTGCTTATCAGCCCGATGTGCAACACCATCCAATACTAAAGAGGGAAAATTCCCAGACTGGAGAGCAAGGGCAAAACCATGGTTCCATGGTTTGGCAGGATTAAGCCTGAATCAGTTCTTTCCCATCTTTATCTTCACAGCCTCCAGACACTGTGGCAGGACACTGAATACAGAAGAGCAGCCAGGAGTGTGACCTTTGCTTCCATCAATATTGACTGCAGAGAAAGGAAGTGAATCACCATAATACAGTATCTCTAACTCCTTGAATCTGCAGCTGGTCCAGAAGGATACCATGACTAAAGGTATTGAAGGCTAGTGAGACATCAAGGAGCACACAAGGGTGGATGCATCACTCCCCCCCAGCTCTGCCAGATGTCATCAGTAAACATGACCAGTTCCATGCTGTACCCCAGTCTGAAACCAGGTTTCCTGAGATTGCTAGGCTTGTGCTTCCCAGTAGGATGATTTCAACTAGGAGAGAAGGGTTGTTGCTCATGTCATCACCAATGAATGCCATATTGTCATAGGACTGCGACTGCTTCTGTCAACAAAGAGTTTGGTGACAGTACATTATATTGTGCGCCCTGTTATCCAGACTACTTTTGTGAACAGGGTTAGCTCTCTTTCAGAAGCTGAATTCAGAAATAGCCTGACTGACAAGTACAGGTATAGAGGACCTCTGAAATTGCTACCTGTCTATTAAGCAATTTGTCAGTTGATTAAACCAGATACTCTAAGAACAGGAATCAACAATAATGGCTGGGCAATTTATGCCAGTATGCATTCCTGCCATCTCGGCTATTGGAGGATAACATTTTCAACAGCACAAGTAATTATGACTAATTTCCAGAAACACTTGCTGAGATTATTGAAAACCTGTTATAATCAGCATAGACCTTTCATAGTCCCCTGTGCAGTGTTTTGATTCTGCCAAACCCTTATTTGCCTGCCAACATGTTTAGTATGATACAGGCCTTTACGGAGACAGTTGGTAAATAGAAGGTCAGCTCTATTTACATCATTTCTCAGAATCCTGTCTAGTTTGGGGGAGGGTTCAGTAAGTTCATTTGATGACAGATAAACCTACAAATGCAATACCGGTTTCAGAGTTTTATTCATTGGGTGTTATGTAAATTCACAGGAATCTTGAGCAAAGCAACTGCACCTTTTTGTAGGCATAAAGATACTTGATACATGAGCTGAGGTGGCGCAGTGGTTAGAGTACAGTACTGCAGGCTACTTCAGCTGACTGCTAGCTGCAGTTTGGCAGTTCAAATCTCACCAGTTCAAGGTTGACTCAACCTTCCATTCTTCCAAGGTGGGTAAGATGATTCTGTAAACTGCTTATAGAGGGCTGTAAAAGCACTATGAAGTGGTTTATAAGTCCAAGTGCTATTGCTACCAGAACAAATGTTGATTTAGACTTCCATTCATAAGCTGTCATGCATCTTTCAAATGAGGATGATACACATCTTTCCTTGGATACATATATAAATATATTTAGAACCACCTTCAAAGCATAAGACTAAAAGCAGTAAGCCTTGTGACAAGGAAAGGAGTGGTCAGATGAATACACCAGGAAATGCAGAAGGCAAATCTAAGAAATGCAGCACTGTATTCAAGTTTTTTGATGCATGTACATCAATGCACAGAATAAGGGAGACAAACAGGGAGAAATGGGTCCTAATATGGAAGAAGGGAGGGAATATAACTTTAACTGGTAAGATGGAGCCTGTGATTGGAATAGGGTATTGGAAGGATACAGTTTGTTCCAAAGAAACAGACACAACAAAACAAGTGGAAGGAATGGCATTATATGTGAAGAAGTATTACACCTGTATTACAACCCTGAAGTGAACCCTGAAATGGCTGAGGCCATCTTGGAAGCTTCAGGATTGCCACACAAGAGAGGGAGGGGGAAATAGTTAGATGGGGTTTGATAGCCAAAACAAATAAAATTTTCCTGTGGGAACCAAGGACATTCTCACGGTTCCACCACAAAACCGCGGTAGACTAAAGCGCGTGTGACTAAAGCGCAGTGACAAAACCGCACAGTCAAAACCGCGCGACAACAGCGCGCCGACAACAGCGCACCGACAGAAGCGCGCCGACAGAAGCGCGCCGACAGAAGCGCGCC